GAGCTGGATCTCGTAATAGCCAGATCCCGAGCTGGATCTCGCAATAGCCAGATCCCGAGCTGGATCTCGCAATAGCCAGATCCCGAGCTGGATCTCGCAATAGCCAGATCCCGAGCTGGATCTCGCAATAGCCAGATCCCGAGCTGGATCTCGCAATAGCCAGATCCCGAGCTGGATCTCACAATAGCCAGATCCCGAGCTGGATCTCGCAATAGCCAGATCCCGAGCTGGATCTCGCAATAGCCAGATCCCGAGCTGGATCTCGCAATAGCCAGATCCCGAGCTGGATCTCACAATAGCCAGATCCCGAGCTGGATCTCGCAATAGCCAGATCCCGAGCTGGATCTCGCAATAGCCAGATCCCGAGCTGGATCTCGCAATAGCCAGATCCCGAGCTGGATCTCGCAATAGCCAGATCCCGAGCTGGATCTCGCAATAGCCAGATCCCGAGCTGGATCTCGCAATAGCCAGATCCCGAGCTGGATCTCGCAATAGCCAGATCCCGAGCTGGATCTCGCAATAGCCAGATCCCGAGCTGGATCTCGCAATAGCCAGATCCCGAGCTGGATCTCGCAATAGCCAGATCCCGAGCTGGATCTCACAATAGCCAGATCCCGAGCTGGATCTCGCAATAGCCAGATCCCGAGCTGGATCTCGCAATAGCCAGATCCCGAGCTGGATCTCGCAATAGCCAGATCCCGAGCTGGATCTTACAATAGCCAGATCCCGAGCTGGATCTCGCAATAGCCAGATCCCGAGCTGGATCTCGCAATAGCCAGATCCCGAGCTGGATCTCGCAATAGCCAGATCCCGAGCTGGATCTCGCAATAGCCAGATCCCGAGCTGGATCTCGCAATAGCCAGATCCCGAGCTGGATCTCGCAATAGCCAGATCCCGAGCTGGATCTCACAATAGCCAGATCCCGAGCTGGATCTCGCAATAGCCAGATCCCGAGCTGGATCTCGCAATAGCCAGATCCAGCCCACTATCTGTGATCTGAAAGGTCGACATTTGTCGACCTCTCAAGATTGTAACCTAAGCACAGCCTGTGGGGTAAGGGTATAGCCGCCCCGACTACTGGTTAGTGACCCGAGTTCGGGTCAGGTATTCTCGACCCGACGGGTATTCAAATACCCGACTTTGGACACCCGAGTGACGGGTCGGCTATTTTGTCCGATCCCAATAGAAGGACCCGACCTGACTAGAAAGTCTCTTTCCCATGCCTATGGATGGATGGATGGATGGATGGATGGATGGATGGATGGATGGATGGATGGATGGATGGATGGATGGATGGACATAAAACCAGGGTCATGCATTAGCAGCAGGTGCTCAAGCGATCTTTTTGCCAAGGGTCCAGCGTGGTCAAAAGGGGTCCAAAGGGGTCCAAGTGTGCTTCACTCACGTTTTTGTGCTCAAAGTGCGGCAGCAGCTTGATCTCTCTCAGCGTGCGGCTGGCATCAATGCGATTGAAGTGCATGTGCTCGTATGCTCGTACTGCACGCATCCAAGTCACTCGTACTGCACGCATCCAATTCACTCGTACTGCACGCATCCAAGTCACTCGTACTGCACGTATCCAAGTCACTCGTACTGCACGCATCCAATTCGCTCGTACTGCACGCATCCAATTCACTCTTACTGCACGCATCCAATTCACTCGTACTGCACGCATCCAAGCCACTCGTACTGCACGTATCCAAGTCACTCGTACTGCACGCATCCAATTCGCTCGTACTGCACGCATCCAATTCACTCTTACTGCACGCATCCAAGTCACTCGTACTGCACGCATCCAAGTCACTCGTACTGCACGTATCCAAGTCACTCGTACTGCACGCATCCAATGCACTCGTACTGCACGCATCCAATTCACTCACGTTTTTGTGCTCAACGTGCCGCAGTAGCTTGATCTCTCTCAGGGTTTGCTTGGCGTCGATGCGATTGAGCAGTGTTGAGATGCGTGCTCACAAATGCTCATCCATCTCAAAAACTTGCCACATCTACATCGCATGTCCTCGTGTTGAAACGATGAAAATTTGTTTCTGGGACGCCTCAGAGATCGTCCGACTCACAGTTTCACGGTCGAAGTGCCGCAGCAGCTTGATCTCTCGCAGGGTGCGCCTGGCGTCAATGCAGTTGAGTTGAAGTGCCTCATTCACGTGACACACCTACACTACACCACACCATGGGCTAGAAGCATTTGCTCACAAGCTCATGTTCTCTCACTGCCTCCTTACATTCTCGTGGTCAAAGTGTCGCAGCAGTTTAATCTCTCTCAGGGTGCGCTTGGCGTCGATGCGATTGTCAAATGCGTTTGAGATCTTCTTTATCGCTACCTCCTCCTCTGTCTCTATGTCCACCGCTGAGCTGCACGGATGGACGGGTGTGGTGTGGAGGGGTTTGGATGGGCGTGGATGGGTGTGGAGGGGTGTGGATGGGTGTGGATGGGTGCAAATGTTTGTTAATGGGTGCCCATAACACCGAAGGCGTTTTCGATCCTCTTGATGGCCACCTCCTCCTCTGTCTCTATGTCCACTGCGGAGCTGCATGAATGGATAGGTGTGGATGGGTGTGGATGAATGTGGATGGGTGTTCATCATTGCTAAGGCGATTGAGATCTTCCTTGTCAATCCCCCCCCCCCCCACCCAATCCCTCGTCTCCATGTCTCTCCATGTTTATTGCTGAGCTGCATGATGTGTGGATGTCATCTCACCGATGCAGATGCTCACTGATTGAACACGTACTACACTACCCTCTCCCCAAACCCCCCCCATTCCCCACTCACCACACAATGCCGTACGCGCCGCGTCCGATGGGCCGAATGGGCTTCACGTATTTAGCCGACACCTCAAAGATATGCCCGCAGATGTCGTATCGCGTGTAAGCGCCCCCGTATGTCGGCACCCCCACCACCTCCAGCTCATACTGCTGCGCCATTTGTGCAGGGGCCGCGCCGCCTGCCGCGGCGCCAAGTGGCTTGTGGAGATTGGTCGCTGTCGCCACGTCCATGGCTGCTGTGCTGACGTGGCACGGAGTGGGATGGGATGGGATGGGATGAGATGGCGGACAGCGTGGGTCATATAGGGAGACGTGTCTCGGAATATCGCTGGTGCGATGGACAGAAGTGAGGTTGCCTTTGAGTCGGATAGAAAAACAGGGATAGAATGGCGTTGAATGGCATTGCATGGCATGTGGTGGCCAAAATCTCAGTCATATGTGTAGGCATGGCAACAGGCTCAAGAGGAGTGATAACATGGGTTGGCATGGCGCTGTGCTGGAAAGAAACTATGTGCAATGATGGGCAGCAGCCGTGCTACTGTTCGTGCGATGGACGGCAAACGAAAAATTGCTTGTGTGATGGGCGCCGTGATACTTTTTGTGCTTGACTAAAGCGATGGTTATCTCCTTTTCATTTCTCTACCCAAACGGGATGCCATGGCATGGCATGGATTGACATGGGATGCAGTATGCCATGCCATGCCATACCGCTCTCTGGTGTGGCTTGACCACACCACACCGCACTGCACCGTACCATACTTAGCATACCATACCGTATCATTGCACTCCATACGATTCCATACCATACCATACCATACCATACCATACCAACCCCTTCTCCTCTTCCCCTATAACAAGGGGCACTTGGCTCACATGGCCACACCCGAACCAAACCAAGGGCCCTCCCTCCCACCCACTCTGCCTCCCAAAAAGTATCTTGTACCGTTAACCACTTTTTGGCGCCTCAAAGCGTCTTGTACCTCTAACGAGTCGGTGCAGGCGAGGCAAGGGCGAGTCGCGTCTAGACCGCGGAGCGACCGCGGATTACGCGTCCTGAATCCCCGCCCATGGCGCCGCGATCCACGCGGAATCAGTTCAGGAGATGCGAGCGGTGAAAGTGCAGCGCATAAGGATTCCAATCTGGGAGTGGGATCCGCAACCACCGATGTTTGCTCTACGACGCGCAAGAGTGTGTGCGGAAGGGGCGCGCGGAAGGGACGTGCGCGCGCAATATGCCAAACGGGCCGTGCGGAAGCGAAGGGGGTGGGGGAGGGGAATGGGAGGGGGAAGTGAAAGGGGGCGCGGAATCCGCTATCGGATAACAGGGAACGAGGGCCAGGGGAGGACGCGGAGGGGGAAAGTCGCGGAGAACGGGGGCAGTGAGTGGAGTGGGGAGCCGAAGGCGTGAGGGGCGAGGGGGGTGGTGCGAGCTCCCGCGGAACTACGTGTGGCGCCTGGTATCTCGACCACGCGTCGCGCTTGAAGAAAGAGAGCAACGAGCCGCTAGAAGCAAGACGGATGGGCGGGCGAATGGAGCGGAAGGAGCGAGAGGAGCGAGAGGAGCTGGGGGGAGGAGGAATGCGCGGGCGATAAGGCAACTGATGGAGGGCGATGAACAGTGGCAGCGGGCTGAGAGGCGACAGGCTCTGATCGCGAGCGGTTACTCGTGATCAGAGTGGTGATGGTTTACGACAAGCGCTCGTGGAGGGAGAACAATTGTGGAATGCAATTTTGCGCGGAAATTTAGGTCAGTCTTATAAGGGAGGTAGGTAGCTGATGCTGGCAACAGAACAGTGATGACATTCGAGGCAGGGTGGGATAGGCGAGGCGGCCGAGAGGGTAACCGGACACCTGAACGAAAGTATCGACTGTTGTCGACAGGGTAAAGTAAGCTCGCAATTTGCGAACTTTGTTTGCGACGACTGTGGTCTTCGCAAGTTGTTGATTGGGCGTGTGACGACGAGCCGCGAAATGGAAAAATCTGGCAGCAAACGGTTGGACAACGATCACTACAGCGGAAATTCCTTACTGTAGGTCTATCGCTGGAGGAATGCAAGGAGACAATTTCACCCATGGGTCCACTGTGATGAGAGCGCGAGGTGACTAAATCCACGTTAGTATATCTGAAACTCGATAGTACGACTGCACCTGGCTTACGTTTCACTATTTCATTTGAAGCAAATACACTAGGGGTGGAGATAAACATTGCACCTCAATTCTAGGCAGCGACCGCTGAAAGCTGTGAACAGAAAACCCCAAACAGAGAGGAAAAAAAAAATACACAGAAACAAGAAATCAGTATCAACTCGGAGAAGATGCTTGAAAAAAAACAAGAACCTTTTCTGTGAAGAGGGCAACATGTGTACTGGTGTGTTTACTCGCACATGCATGGGGCCATACAAAGGCGGCAGGATGGTGAGATAGGAGCGAGAGAGAGAGAGTAATATGAAGGGATGAAGGAAGTCAGCGGGGGGAGGGGGAAGCGGGGGGAGGGAGGCACGGGGGCTGATGGGAGGGAGAGAAGCCTGGAGGGTGGGAGAGGAGGGTGGGGAGGGAGTGCGTAAGAGCGCGGGCTACTCACATCAGCAGTGAGTTGCGAGGCGAGGGCATCGTGGAAGCCGAGCTGGGCGAGCAGCTTGTGGCCGGCACACTCGCGCTGCTCCCAGATGCCCAGCAGGATGAGCGCCGTTGAGATCTCCCCCGTCCGCCCTGGTGGGTTGCAGCACGGTGGGGTGGGGGTAGGGGTTGGGTGTGTTGTGGAGTGGGGGTTGGGGAGGGGGAAAGAGGTGAGGAGAACGGGAGGGGAGGGTGTGATGAGAAGAGCTGCTGGAATTTGCGCAGTGAGTGCTGGGAGGCATGAAGCATTGAAGAGGGGACCAATAGGCAAGTTGTCGGACAAGATATGTGGCAAGCCCTCTGCAGCGCAGTGACCGCCACCGCAGGCTCAGTCAGGAGCAAATGCAGGGCAAGACGAGGAGCATGCAGCAAGGGAGACCAGGCAAGGCATAAGGCAGGAAGCAGGAAGCAGGAAGCAAGAGACGACGGCACAAGGCAGGATTGTACAAACATGCCAGAGAGCACAGCCCAACGCACAGCTCAAGCCAACGCACCGAGCTCCTTGTGCTTGGCGATGGCCCACTGCAGGGCAGCCAGGGCGGGCTCAGTGAGAAAGACACTCCGAGACCCACAGCCCAAACCACAGCCCAACCCACAGCCCAAACCACAGCCCAACCCACAGCCCAAACCACAGCCCAACCCACAGCCCAAACCACAGCCCAAACCACAGCCCAACCCACAGCCCAACCCACAGCCCAACGCACAGCCCAAACCACAGCCCAAACCACAGCCCAAACCACAGCCCAACCCACAGCCCAAACCACAGCCCAAACCACAGCCGAAACCACCGCCCAGCCCACAGCCCAACCCACAGCCCAACGCACAGCCCAACAGAACGCACCGAGCTCCTTGTGCTTGGCGATGGCCCACTGCAGCGCGGCCAGGGCGGGCTCAGTGAGCGGCGGGTGCTCGGCACTGAAGTAGTACATGTCCGCCTTGCCCAGCAGCTCCACCGTCCTCACCCGCAGGTCCATCAGCTTGATGCCGTTTGCGCGCATGAACCGCGCGCCGTAGTTGGTGCCTGGGGTGGGGGATGGTGGGAGCAGCAAGCAGGAGGTGAGGTGGGAGTGGGCAAGGGGAAGAAGGGATGTTCAGGGCTCAAGTAGTACATATCAGCCTTCCCCAGCAGCTCCACCGTCTTCACCCGCAGGTCCATCAGCTTGATGCCATTGGCCCGCATGAACTGCGCGCCGTAGTTGGTGCCTGGTGTGTGGAGGGGTGGGGGGGAGGGAGCGCAGAAGCTGGTGCCTGGTGAGAGCAGCAAGCAGCACACAGCAGGTGTGTGTGTGATACTGAGGGTGAGTGGGGAGGGAGGGGTGCTTGGCACTGAAGTAGTACATGTCCGCCTTCCCCAGCAGCTCCACCGTCCTCACGCGCAGGTCCATCAGCTTGATGTCGTTGGCCCTCATGTTGGTGCCTGGGGAGAATAGCAGAGATGTGTGTGAGTAGGGACAGGGAGGGAGGGGTGTAGGGAGAGGGAAGGAAATAGGTATGCGTGAAGGAGAGAACATTTCCGTGAGCAGCACCTCTCTGCCAGTGCTGGGTTCACTCGAAATTGCTTTATTGGGTTTCATGGTAACAAGTGCTATCAACAGCAACGCCCGCATTCAGCAAGCATGCCCAGTGCGCACGATAAGCAGCGCCTTCGTGCCATGGTAGAGTCGTGCTGTATGGTGAACAATTACCAGTGGTATTAGCAGTAACTGAACCCTACAGTGAGCATGAAAGCCATTCACAGAACAGCACTGACCTTCTGTGAGCATGCCCATCAGCAGCGCCTCCGTGCCAGTGGTGGGGTACTTGAGCTTCCGAGCCTCCAGCTCCGCCATGCCGAACGTCTTGATGGCCCGGGCGGACCAGCTGGCGGGGAGGGAGAGTGAGGTTGGGGCGGGGAACACAATGTGGCTATCAGGTGGGAGGGACCAACGTTCAGGACACTCCAATGTACTTTAGCTTGCAAGCTTTCGAGTCTCCAGCCCCGTCATGCGAACGTCTTGATGGCCCGCGCGGACCAGCTGACGGGGAGGGAGGGAACAACGGGAGAGAGATTAGGGCAGCGGGGGGGAGTGCGCCTATTAGGTGGGAGAGACTGATGTTGAGTCCACTCGGAGAAACCCGAGCCTCCGAGCCTCCAGCTCCGCCATGCGAACGTCTTGATGGCCCGGGGGGACCAGCTGGTGAAGAGACAGCATTGTGAGGGGGGGGGAGAGACAGCAAAAGGAGTGGAAGTGAGGGAGGACGTGAAGAGAGGGGGAATAGATAGTGTAGGCAAGCAGGAGGGAAGTAGAGCGAAAAGGCAGAAGAGTAGGAGAGACAGAGAGTGCACAAAATCAAGCTGAGCTCTTTGGCATTCGGGAGTGTTATTTTACAGGGAGGGCGCAGATGTGATTGAAAAAAAGAAAAATGTGTGATTGCAGAGGGTGGTGAGGGTGTGAACAGGAAGGGTGATGCTGGCTGGTGGGATACGCATTGGGAATTCTCAGCAGGGAAGATGGGAGGGACACGCGAGAATGGGACGGGCAAGAGAGAATGGGAGGTGCAAGAGAATATGTGAAGGGCAAGAGGGGATCGGAGGGGTAAGAGAGAATGGGAGGGGTAAGATAGAAAAGGAGGAGCACGACAGAATGGGAAGGGTAAGGGAGAATGGAAGGGGCGCGAGAGAATGGGCGGGGCAAGAGAGAATGGGAGAGCAAGGGATAAACTGAGACCAGCAATTGGCTGGGAAGAGCAGTCCAGGAAAGCCACACCCTCAGCCTTAGCTACCTCACATGCCATACCACGCCAAATTACGTCATCCCATGCCATGCGCATGCCAACCCATGCCATTGCTACACATGCAAAGCTGGGCCGAGTCAGGCCAGGAACGCCACGGCAGGAATGACGTGTCGTTCCATGGCACGGCATGACGCGATGTCCACAAGCTGGGAACGTGTAATCGTGTCTTGGGAGTGACGGCGGCAAATGGCTTGTGGAACTTACTTTCTGCAATCAGGATATATGAAAACGATGAAAAGGGATACACGGAGGAGGACAAGAAAAAAGTCATTCGTGGATGGCAACCGACGGTGAAACGACAGAGGACGGATAAGAGAGACAAATGAACCCGTTCTTGCCAGTGGTCGACCATATCAGTAACGGGTCAAACGATGAATGTTGAATGAGAAACTTGGAGTGAAAACGAAATTCCGATCTGCAAGATCAATGGAACCCTACTTGGGAGAACGAATGACGCTCATCCAAAACTTTAGTACGACACGAAGCGCGAGTCACCAGTGTCAAACTGGGTTTCGAAACTACGATCACCAAAGCACCCGCATGATCAGAATAAAAAACATTTGAAGGGTTGTTAATCTGAACGTTGTGGTTTCGGGATTTATTCGGTACTAGCAACCGGCAAGTTTTGGCTGCGTGGTTTAAAAACCGAAATCTAGAGGATGTGTGACAAACACGATCGATTAAGAGGAGAGTCCTCCTAAGAAGCAACAATGAACGCGAACGGGGTTTTTAGCAATGTCGCTAGGCTCTTGAAAAATGCGTGTCAGAGGTTAGGGTTTGCAGAAGAGTAACTAGCGACACTCTGATTCATCACGCAAGGCACGACTGGAGGTTACGAGAACGCAAGCAGCGAGTGAGGGTTGCGACGAACGCGGATGGAGGGGAATGGAAGGAGTTGAGGAGGGCATACGCGTGAGGTAGCGAGCAAGTCACCGATGCTCGCGATTTAACGACGCGCATCGCCACGCTAAGTTTTGTATTCCCGCCATACGAAGACGACGACGTGGCGCCTGCGAATCGCGACGGAGTGAACGACGACGCGAATGACGCCGTCGATCTAGCGGCCTCATCGCATAGGACGGCCGTAGTGTATCTAGCGCAGGGGGAGGCGATCAGCGAGAGCTGGGACACAGCAGCCATGGCGCTCGCTTTGTCGATTAAATCGAAGAGATTAGTAGTTTCCCCAGCTGCTGGCTGCGACCGCCCAGGATCGTCCGCGTGACTAATATTGAGAGGAATACTGGGGCTTGTGTTCTCTCTGAACCTGGTTGCTGCTGCCTTCTTTCGTGCTGTGTTGTACGCCTTCTGCTGCTCCGAATTTCGAGACAACAGCTTCGTCTCAACTCCAATCCAGGGCTGTCGATATCCCTGGGGGCAGAGCTTGAGGCCCCCAGCTGCTGAAATTCTGACCCTGATTTTCAGGGAGGTGACCAAATGGGAGGAGCCAAGCTCGGAAATCTCTGAGCATCCCAAGGTGGTTCGGTCTCAGTCGCATGGACGTCGCCATGCGATTTTCCCCTCCCGAGCCTGAATTCGAGCCAGTCCCTCCCGTTCCCGTTCCCGTTCCCGTTGGCTATCGAACAAGGCCCTAGGGACGAGGGTGTGTGACGTGACGTGGCGATTGATGGTGCTGGTAGAATATTGATCGGCATACTTTCTCGCTACAAAATACATTTCTCATACATTTCTCTTTATGAATATGCAGCAATCACAATGCAATGCAAGCTATGGAATGAAAATACGCGTTAGAACTAGCTAGGAAATGCACAATGAAGCATAACAATTACATACAACCAAATGCAGACAGAATGCATGTACCATGCATTCTGCTCTACTGTATAGTTATTTACAGTCAGGGCAAATATATTCTCTGATAGACTCCAGCCCACGGCTGGGCAAGTTGACACATTCTGGATGGAACCTGAACAGGAAAAAGAATGCAATAAGAAGCGCATATTAAACTCCTGCATGGATGCAAACAAAAAGGGACATATACGAGCTTCAAAAAAAGCCACACAAGAGACTGCAAACATGGCAAAGGTGCAAGAGTCACGAGGCAGTCACAGGCACAAGTTGAAGCAGGAGAAAATATAGCGCTTCACATCCATCCTCACCAGTCTTTGCAGTCTTCACACTGAACCATGAGATTGTCGGGGTTGTATGGCATCTCGCACTTGCAGTACCTGCAGAGCGATGGCACAGGCATGTGGGTCACAACACACCCAGCTGCTCATTCCACTCATTCTGAAACATAGACTTCATCATGCAGACTTCCAGTGAGAAAAGATTCCCTGCAAACACATGCGCCTTCTCTAGCTAATGTGCATGCCATGCCGAAACGTTGTTTGTTGTCGCAGGGTACCGGTAAAACCCTCGCCACTCACACTGCAACACTCTCTGGCGCGAACATTCCTGTTGACGCGTTGTACTCGAACCGGCAGAAGAAGTCCTCCTCCTCAACCACGTCCAAGTAAGCGTAATCCTTCAGGTTGTGCACAGAACACACGCCCTCCACCGCCTCTGGATAGCAACCGTCATAGTGATCGGACAGAAATAGCTCCTTAACTCCATGGAAGCACCGACGCCCCCCTATAGACTCCTCTGGCCGGTAGTACCAGCGGCACCACATCTTGACTCGACCCGCAGCATCAGATTCGATTTTCTCAATTCGCGCAATGTATGAGGGGGTCTTGGGGCTGGGTGGCCGCAGCATGACGCAAACTCCAGCTGGAAGGGGATGGGAGAGGGGTGGTACCCAGTAATGGTTGGATGGAGCGACTGATGTGTATGTGGAGGGTTCTCCTTCATAAGATAACCCTTGTAAGGCATATCTCAAAGGCAGATTTGTTCAGAAGAAAATATTCTCAAAATCTATTACTCTGGAGGAAGTACATTCACTGAAATATGTTCTTCGGACATTTTTTGTAGAGGATTCGAGCGCGAAATCGTGGGAATACAGCATCATTCGGGCGTCAGGAAAGAGTTACGATAATAAGAACGGCCGGCAGGGGAGGACTTCAGAGGAAAAGCGACAGCGTGGGGAAAGAGCACGGGTAGCATACTGGTTCAAGTCATGGAGAGAAGGTGAAATGGTAGGAGAAGGGCGACCGCAGCACGTACGTTCGAGTCGCTTGCCGTTCGCCTCGTACGACTCCAACAACCGCTTCGCTCGCCTTTTCCCCATACAGGCGCCGGGTCGATATTAACTCAGGCGGGAAAGGAACGTGGTTTGTGGGATAAACACAGCCGTTACAATCCGTTTGAGCAAAGTCTGGTGCGCGTTCCGTGAAAAATGCTGTGAGGGAAAGCGGCGAGCGGCGGTAATGCCGCTGGGTGCTTTCAAATGAAAATCCCGCGCGCCATAGCGGAGTCCGTATGCGCGCGACGTTTGTTCGAGGTGTGCGACGTTAGCAGTCGCTGTGCGACCAAAGCACCAAAGATGGAATAAGTTGTGCCACGCAGGAGACCTAGGCAACAGCCTAACAACGAGGAAAGACGATCACCGTCGGGACTACAGAACCATTAGCGACGGTACTCTGTGGTTTTTCCTCGGCATTTGCCGCCTACTTTGCTTTGGCTGGAGGAACGCCAGAAACTATTCTCATGGCAGTTCTTTTGTGTCTTGTGGCTCTTCTCTTGCTTCCTGTCTCGCTGCTGCCTTTGTTTCTCCTGCTTCAGAGCGCCGAGCTTTTGCAACTCAAATCAAATGTTCAAAAAAAGCCCTTTGTGTCTGGTCATACATTTGGGGATCATTCTTTGTGGTTCAGGTCAGTTTCACACGGTCCAAAGCGATTTTGTAGCTGTGCTATTTTGCCCCACAGCAAGGGGATGGTGAAGACGAACGACCTGGAAACGTACAAGAAACGTACAGCCTGGAAACCTTGGAGGGGCATAGGGATATGCTTGGGCGCGCAGGGGTACCACTCCCCAATCTCGAGGTTCAAAGGTTTAGAATTGCCCCATTTAGTTATTTCCAACGCACAGAACCGCGTCCCAGCCCATTGCAAGCACTGGCTTTGAGGGCAACGGGGTCTATCATCAACTTTCATTCGCATCCTCGCCTCACACTGTCTTTTGTGCGATTCCGCGTTTCGGTATTTCTGGGCACTCCAGTTCTTGGGCCACTGTACCAGAATGAACCACTGAATTGTGATTGCAAACGTTTACACCTGCCCGGCGACGTTACCCATCTTGACTGCCTGAAAGTGGGTCTGGTCCGGTGCGTTCGTCCTTTGTTCGTTCTATGCGGTTGCTCTTGTTATGTCACGGTGCGAATCGGTGACAGACGTGAACCGCTGTGCACCGTCTGAAATCGTCTTCCGCCACGATGGATGTACTGAAAACGATCGCGCTGGACCCGCCCTGAAATTTCGTTTGGAGCACCTCTGCCATCGCAACCGCACGTGATTGGTGGATTAGCCTGTCAGATTCAGTGCCTGGAGAAAGCCTCAAAAGGCCTGGACGAGCCCCCTTGTTCAGGCTCGCACGCCATTCGCTGGCAGTACTTATCCAGCATACTTCCCAGTAATACTAGCGTAATATTTCAAATGCAGCGCTATTGGCGGTCCGCAACTTGACTTGACGGTATTTTTCCCTCATTTAAGTGAAATGGATTTGAAGCCACAGCACCTACAGCAGCAACAAATTCCACCCGCCGTATCCGAAGGAGGAGGCGCCGCGAAACCCGCAACTTCGGATCTGGAACCGGCTGGCGGCGCGCGGAATGACGCCGCGTCGGCTCCTTCCGCCGCGGACGATCGTGCGACGAGCCCTGTGCCGTCCGCCGCTACAGACGCTCGCGCGACAAGACCCGGCAGTGGCGGGGGCGAGCCCGCTACAGACGCGCGCGGGGCGAACGCCGCGGCGTCCGTTGCGCCCGAATCCACCGCCTCGCACAGAGACGCTCCGCAACCGCACGCGCAGGCGCAGGCGCAGGGCTCCCCGCAGGGCGCGCTGAGTGTTCCCCACGCGCTGCTGTCGGACTTCGCGGAGACGGGCGTGCTGGATCTGGCGCACGACCTCGGGATTATTCCCGCCTCCGCCCACGCGGATGGGCCGAAACAGTCGCCTGGTGAGAAGGGAAGGGGGGATGGGGGAGGAGGGGCGGTGGCGGGCGTATCGATCTGGCGCACGACCTCGGGATCATCCCCGCCTCCGCTGCTGCCGCCCGAAACCGTCGCCTGGTGAGAGAGGAAAGGGGGTAGGGAAGGGGGGAGGGAAGGGGGGAGGGAGGAGCGGCGGAGACGGGCGTGCCGGATCTGGCCCATGACCTCGGGCCTGCCGCTGCCGCTGCCGCCCACGCGGACGGGCCGAAGCCGTCGCCTGGTGAGGGAGGAATGGAGGAGAGGGGAGGGGAGGAGGGGAGGGAAGCTGGGGAGGGTAGAGGGGGAGGGAGGGAGGGAGGAAGGGAGGGAGGGAGGGAGGGAGGGAGGGAGGGAGGGAGGGAGGGAGGGAGGGAGGGAGGGAGGGAGGGAGGGAGAGAGGGAGGGAGGGAGGGAGAGAGGGAGGGAGGGAGAGGGAGAGGGAGGGAGGGAGGGAGGGAGAGGGAGAGGGAGGGAGGGAGAGGGAGGGACGGAGGGAGGGAGGGAGAGGGAGAGGGAGGGAGAGAGGGAGCGAGGCGAGGGAGGGAGCGAGGCGAGGGAGGGAGCGAGGCGAGGGAGGGAGCGAGGCGAGGGAGGGAGCGAGGCGAGGGAGGGAGCGAGGCGAGGGAGGGAGCGAGGCGAGGGAGGGAGCGAGGCGAGGGAGGGAGCGAGGCGAGGGAGGGAGCGAGGCGAGGGAGGGAGCGAGGCGAGGGAGGGAGCGAGGCGAGGGAGGGAGCGAGGCGAGGGAGGGAGCGAGGCGAGGGAGGGAGCGAGGCGAGGGAGGGAGCGAGGCGAGGGAGGGAGCGAGGCGAGGGAGGGAGCGAGGCGAGGGAGGGAGCGAGGCGAGGGAGGGAGCGAGGCGAGGGAGGGAGCGAGGCGAGGGAGGGAGCGAGGCGAGGGAGGGAGCGAGGCGAGGGAGGGAGCGAGGCGAGGGAGGGAGCGAGGCGAGGGAGGGAGCGAGGCGAGGGAGGGAGCGAGGGACTGACAGACGGAGCGAATACCCTGATCCCATTGGGAGCATATAACCCTCTCTGAAAGTCTCGTCCCTACCAACCCTACCTTCACCCTCCCCTTCCTCTTCTCCCCCCCACCCCCTGCAGTCTCACTGCCCCTAAAACCAATTCTATTTGCTGTGCAGTCACAGCAGCAGCAGGGGCAGCAGAAGAGAACCGCATTGTTCTCTTCCCCTCTCTGTACCACCAACCATTTTTGAGGCGCCTCAAAAGCAGGGGGCACAGCAGAGAACCGCACTGTCAGAGATTCCCCTCTCCTTCTCCTCCCCCCTCTGTTCCCCCAACCCCACCCAACCTTCTCCCCCACGACCCCCTCGCTTCTGCAGTCTCCCCTCCCCCCAAGCCAATACCATCTGCTCTGCAGTCGCAACAGCAGCAGGGGCAGCAGGGAGCAGCAGGGGGATGGGCGGAGACCTCTCTAGGAGGAGGAGTGGCAGGCGCAGGAGCTGGGGGCGCAGGGGGAGGGGGAGCAGGGGCGCGGTCAGTGGAGAGTGGGGACTCCACTGACCGTGGTCGCCTGGGGGGCGCTGCCCCCGCTGCTGCAGGGGGGAACGGGGGGGGTGGCGGCGGAGGGGGAGGAGCAGGGGGAGCAGCAAGTGGGGCGTCGGGTCTGGGGATGGGGATGGGGGCGGGGGTATCTATGGGGATGAGCATGCTGCCAGGGGACGAGTATGGGGCGGATGGCGCTGCAACTGATTCCTTGGACCCCAATGATGCGTGAGTGGCCGTGCTGTCCCTCTGCTGTCGCTGCCTGCTTAAGCGCTTGGTTGACTGGGGATGATTATGGGGGTGGGGATGGGGGTGGGGATGGGGGTGTAGGTGGGTGTGGGGGTGGGGGTGGGGATGGGATGCTACCAGGGGACGAGTATGGGGCGGATGGGGCTGCAGCTGAGCTGACCCCTTGGACCCCAAATGACGCATGAGTGGCTGTTCTTGCCGGCTGTCCCTCTGCTGTCCCTCTCTATCCCTGAGCTGAATGTGCCTGCTTAAGCGCTTAAGGGACAGGGGATGGGCGTGGGAATGGGGATGGGGATGGGGATGAAGGCGGGGGTGGTGGGGTTGATGATGCTATCGGGGAACAAGTGTTGGGCGGATGTAGCTGCAGCTGACTCCTTGGGCCCCAATGAGATGCCATGCTGCCCTGCCTGCCCTGCAGTCCCAGTGCACTCTCTTCCTGTACTCTGCGCTAACGGCCATGCTGCCTGGGCTGCTAAAACACTTGCTTCCAAGAGTTGTGTTGCTTCTTTACTTGCTTGTTCTGCTGATTTGCTTCCACCTGCCCACCTTTTGCTTCCACCTGCCCACCTTTTGCTTCCACCTGCCCACCTTTTGCTTCCACCTGCCCACCTTTTGCTTCCACCTGCCCACCTTTTGCTTCCACCTGCCCACCTTTTGCTTCCACCTGCCCACCTTTTGCTTCCACCTGCCCACCTTTTGCTTCCACCTGCCCACCTTTTGCTTCCTCCTGCCCACCTTTTGCTTCCACCTGCCCACCTTTTGCTTCCACCTGCCCACCTTTTGCTTCCACCTGCCCACCTTTTGCTTCCTCCTGCCCACCTTTTGCTTCCTCCTGCCCACCTTTTGCTTCCACCTGCCCACCTTTTGCTTCCTCCTGCCCACCTTTTGCTTCCTCCTGCCCACCTTTTGCTTCCTCCTGCTTTTGTCGTCCTGTTTCACTCTCTCCCGTGCTGCTCTGCCTCCTGTTGTTGTGCCTGCTGCTGCTCCTGCTGCTGCTCCTGCTGCCGCCGCTGCTGCTGCCTCTGTGGGAGCAGCAAGCGCAAGCGGCGACTGCCCCGGGCAGCAGACAGAGGCAAGGGGCTCAGGCATTTCAGCATGAAAGGTGAGAGGAGGAAGGAGAACAGTAAAGGCTGTGTCGCTCTGTTGCCCATCCTACCACTCGTGGAAAGGAAAGCAGAGGATGCGTGCATGTGCGTCCTTCTCTTCCCCTGCGTGCCCGTGCATCTTCTCCCTGCCTCCCTTCCCTCTTGCACGGCGTGTCTGAGAATGTGGGGCCCCTTTCGAGAATGTATCTGAAGTGGCACAAGCATCACTCGCTCCTTCTTCCCCCTCCTTTTCGTGCATGGCAGTGTGTGAGAAGGTGGAATCTAAAGGGCGCACCACGTACAATGAGGTACGTGTGTGCCATGCGGTGTGTGAGAGCACATCTTTTAGGTGCCTCATGGGAGGTGGAATCCAAAGGGCGCACAACATACAATGAAGTATGTGTGTGCCGTGTGGTGTGTGAGAGCACAGCAGGCCACATCCCGTCTCTTATCCACGCTCTGCTAAATGGACCAGTTCAATTGTGACTCTGTTCATGTGTGCTTTTGTTCGTGTTGACTTGCGATGTTTCCTCCTTTTTTACTTTCCAAAAGTCGACATCGAGCACGTGTGTGTGTGTGTGTGTCTCAGACCCCTTGTGCTTTTGCCCTGCACCGTACCAATGCATGCCCTACAGGTAGCAGACGAGCTCGTGGCAGAGTTCACAGGGCTGCAAGGCACTGCCACCCTGCCGCAAGACCAGGTACCCTCTCACCCTCTCTAGGCTTCTACCCTCTCAGGCCACTCTCTTACCCTCTCAACCTACTCTCTTACCCTCTCAACCTACTCTCTTACCCTCTCAAGCCACCCTATTCCCTTTCAAGCTCCTCTCCTGACATTTCAAACTTCTCTCTTACCGTTCCAAACTACTCTCCCACCCTCCCAAACTACTCATTTACCCTCTGAAGCTACCCTCTTGCTGCTGATCCCAACTATTCCCCTCTCACCAGCTCCTCCTGGTGCCGATGCTGCTGCCACTTGTTGCTGTTGCTGCTGTTCCCTCTCTCTGCCGCTATCCCTCCCTCTCAGCGACTGGGAGAGCATTCAGCGGCAGGTGTATGACATGACCCCTCCAGCCCTCTCCCACCACGCCCCTCCCACTACACCCCCCTCCCCTCGCCCCTCCGGCAGCAGTACGATGAGAAGAACATTCGGTGGCGGGTGTACGATGCACCCCTCCGCTTTGTCCCGCCATCTCCCCTCTCTGCCCCAAATCCCCTCTACCTGCGGTGATGCCCTCCCTCCCCTCAAACCCCTTTCGGCAGCAGTACGATGAGAAGAACATTCGGTGGCGGGTGTACGATGCACCCCTCCTCTAACCCCCCCACCCCATGTTTCCCTGCTTTGACCTACACCCATCCCTCCCCTCCCCCTCCCCCCCTCCAGCAGTACGAGTCGGGCCCGACCCGACCCGACCCGACCCGACCCGACCCGACCTGGCCGGGCTACACAGGCTTCCGGGTCGGGTTGGGTCGGGCCAGGCTCGGGCCAGGTTCCTGAAAGTTCTGGCCCGACCCGGGCCTACACACTCGGGTCAGCTTGGACCCGGTCACGGGTCGGGTCGGGTCGGGCCAGTCTGACCCGCCCTTTAGAGGGAGCAGGGGTGTACAACGCCAAGTTGTAAAAAAACGTCATTCCTGCATCGCGATTTCTTGTGAACAGCAGGATACGATAGTAAAGCAGCTAAAGTTGCCTGTCAATGAGGTTTGAACGGGCCCTAACTAGTAGTTTCTAAGCTTAGGTGACTTGCTTGCTGCCGTTAGGCAAGATTGAGAGCGTGGGTAGGTTCTGATGTCGAGGGGATCAAAAATCCCTCCATCACAAATTGAACCCTCAAGGGGCTTTTGTGCCCTCTGTGCCGAAATTGGGTCGGGCTCCTGGTCTTGACCCGAAATTGGGTCGGGCTCCTGGTCTTGACCCGAAATTGGGTTGGGCTCCTGGTCTTGACCCGAAGTCGGGTCGGGTCAAGCTTGACCTGAAACCCGACCCCACCCGGCCCGAGTTCCATGCTCGGGTCGGGTCGGGTCGGGTCGGCCCGCACGGGGCAGGCAAATGAAACCACTGCCCCGACCCGAGCTAAACCTCGGGTCGGGTCGGGTCGGGGCGGCCCGAGCGGGGAAAACGCTCATCTCTAAGTACGATGTGCTGACGCTGCTGTTGCTGCTTCTCTCATCTCTTTCCCCCTCTCCGCCCCCACTTCCTTTCCTCCCCCACCCCTCGGCAGCAGTACGACGAAAAGAACATCCAGCGGCGGGTGTACGACGCGTTGAACGTGCTGATGGCGATGGAAGGGCCTTCCTCCTCTGCCCCCCCCCACTTCCCCCCCACCTCTCCCACCTCCCCCTGCCCCCTCAACCCCCTCGGCAGCAGTACGACGAGAAGAACATTCGGCGGCGGGTGTACGACGCGCTGAACGTGCTGATGGCGATGGACATCATCTCCAAGGAGAAGAAGGAGATCAAGTGGAAGGGCCTCCCGCCCTCCTCTGCTTCGCACCAGCTCCTCCTGGTGCGTGTGGTGTGTGCTGTGGTGTGTGCTGTGGTGTGTGCTGTGCTGTGCTGTGGTGTGTTGCTGCTCGTGCTGATGACGATGGACATCATCTCCAAGGAGAAGAAGGAGATCAAGTGGAAGGGCCTCCCCCCCTCCTCCGCCTTGCACCAGCTCCTCCTGGTGCGTGTGGTGAGGTGTGGTGGGGTGCGGTGTGGTGTGGTGTGGTCTGTGTTGCTCAGTCGACTCAAATATCAAATGGAAGGGCATCACCCCCTCCTCCACCTCCCACCAGCTCCTCCTGGTGTGCGTTGCTGTTTCTGCTGGTGCTGCAACTGCTGCTTCGGCTGCTTCTTTTGCTCCTTCTGCTGGTGTTTCTCCTGCTGCTGACGAGCGTCTGACATGCCTCCGAGCCTTTGTATGTGTGTGCTTGCTTCCAGGCGGAGTCATCACGCGTGCGCAGTCGCGTGGAAAAGAAGGCCGCCCATCTCGAGGAGTTGAAGGAGCAGGTATGCCACCCCTCTCTCCTCTCCACTTTCTATCAAGGAGCAGGTATGCCACCCTCTCTCCCTCCTCTTCACTCTCGTTCTAGGAGCAGGTATGCTTCCTTCTCTCTCCCCCCCTCGCGCTTGCTCCATCTTGCTCCATTTTCCTTGCTGCTGTTCTACTTCTCCTCTGCACCTTCTGTGTTCCTCTTGGCATGCTCTTTTGCCTGTCGACATGCATTTGCCCGTGCATGCATGCATGCACTTACGCACGATTTCTCCTACACGTGCGTGCACCCATGCATGCATGGACCCACGTATCCCTCATGTGTGTGCCACCCACCTCCCATGTGTGTGCCACCCACCTCGCAGATGGCCGGCATCGAGCGTCTCATGCGCCGCAACGAGGCCAGCAGCCAGCAGGGGGGCCCACCTGCGGGTGGCGGGGTGGCGCTGCCATTCATTCTCGTGCAGGTAGGCACTGTTGACTCATTGTAGGCGCGGTCGAAGCTGCCTTTTGAGTCAACTCAAAAGTCCTACCATTCTCGTGCAGGTAGGTACTGTTGACTCATTGTAGGTGAGGCGGAAGCTGCCTTCAGCATGAAATATAGCTGTTCCAGGTACCGTATCATGTATGTTAGGTAGTCACAGAGTTGCCATGATCAGGTTGCCATGATCAGGTTGCCATGATCAGGTTGCCATGGGCATTCACACAGAAAGAGACAGAAGTAGGGGCACCTGGTGCAGGGGAAGCGGAAGCAAAATCGTGCCGTTGCGTACCGTAGCTAACAAGCTTGACTAAAAAAGTCACCATGCCTTGGTGACTTTTTTAGTTGACTCATCAAAAGTTAAGGGGACGAGAAAGCAGAATGGTACCATTACGTACCCTAGCCAGCGGCCATGACTTTTGAAACATCTTAGGAAACCCTTTTGTGTGCTAGCTGTACGTACGTGGACGAGCAAGGCGAGTGAAAGGGCTTCAGCATTTCTATGAGTCTGGAAAGTACAACAGTCAGGTCGTGCCAAGTTTGCAAAGGTTGGTGCACCTCCCACAAACCTGTTGCAGAAGAACTCGCCCCTTACCCTCTCTCAAACGGTCCTTTGTATTTTATCGGCCATAGGTACATGCAAAGCGGAATCAGAATGGTACCGTTATCCTCTCTATTCCTCTCTCTTCCTTTCTCTTCCCTCTCAACCCTTCTCTCTTCCCCCTCTCCCTCCCTCTTCCCTCTCTCTTCCTCTCTCTTCCCCCTCACTTTCTCCCTCTTCCCTCTCACTCCCCCTTTTTTCTGTCTATGGCACGGAGCAGACCCGCCCACAGGCAACGGTGGAGGTGGAGATATCGGAGGAGACATGCAGCTCCTGTCTCACCTCCTCTTTCCTCCTCTCCCCCTCCGTGCTCCTCTGTGGTGTGCAGACCCGCCCACAGGCAACGGTGGAGGTGGAGATATCAGAGGACATGCAGCTCGTGCACTTTGACTTCAGCACGTAAGCTTGCTCGCAGCTTTTCTCACGTTAAAGCACCTCGCAATCTTAACCACGTTCACTCAAACCGCAATGTAAGCTTGAAACCCCCCATCTCCCTCTCCCATCTGAGTTTCTTCCTCTTTCCTCCCAGCACTCCCTTTGAGCTTCAAGGTGACAGACAGCTACATGCTTTGTGCGATGGGCCTCTACACTCCTCCCCCTCATCAACAGAAGTGCCGTAGCCCGAAACCCCAATCTCCCATCCCATCCCAACATCTCCCTCTTCATTCCAATCTCTCCTCCCTTCCCTGACAGAACGTCCTTTGAGCTGCACGACGACAGCTACGTGCTGCGAGCCATGGGGCTCTGCTACCTGAAGCCTTAAGTTTCTTTTTTCTCCTCCCTTCCCTGTCCTCTCCTCTCTCAGCACGCCCTTCGAGCTGCACGATGACAGCTATGTACTGCGAGCCATGGGTCTCTGCACGCCTCCCCTCTCCGATGTCTTCCCACCCTCCCCGGCTCTTCCAGCCACTGCTGCTGCGCCTCCCCTTGCGTCCACACCCACCCCTCCACCGCCCACACAGCCACAGCCCGGTTCACAACAGCAACAGCAGCAGCAACTCCAACCAGCACAGCACTCTCAGCAGCCGCCACAGCAGCAGCAGGCATCACCAGGAGAGGGTGCAATGGCACCCACACAGGCTGCTGCACAGGCACAGCAGCAGCAGCAGCAGGTGCAGGGGCAGCAGGGGCAGCAGCAAGGGCAGCAAGGAGCAGGGAGCGGGCAGGCACAGAGCGGACCAGGAGGCCCACTCTCTCCCTCAGAACCCGGGATAGTTGCCCCCACGAAGGGGGCACCAGAGACGGCTGTAGCAGCTCCCACGAACGGGACACCTCCCTCCACGAGTAATGGGCCACCCATGGGTGGCACTGCAGGTGCTAATGGTGTGGGGAGTGGCGTGGCCGGAGCAGGAGGGCCAGGGGGTCAGCCTGGCAGGGCAGACCGTGTGATCTACTCTCCGCCTCAGCAGCAGCAGCAGCCGCAGCAGCAGCAGGGGCAGCAGCAGCCGCAGGGGCAGTACCAATCAGCTGCGCAGGTTCCAGTGCAAGCTATGGGTGCATCTGCGCTTGCCCCAGGCCAAATGGCACCTCAACTTCAGACTCAGGGATCCGCAGCTGTGCACCTTCCACAGCAGCAGCAGCTGCAACAGCAGCCACAGCAGCAGCAGCAGGTGGCACAGCAAGGGATGGTGGGGAGTGCGCCTCAGATGCAAATGGCAGGAGGGGGGGTGATGGGTGGGGGTAGTCGTGCTTACCAAGCAGGGGTTGCAGGTGCAGGGGTGGTACCAATGCAGGGGCAAGTGGCGGCTATGGGGCAGCCACAGATGCAGCAGCAGTACTATCAGCAGCCTCCTCTGCAGCAGCAGCAGCCGCAACAGTATCAACAGCAGCAGGACCAGCAGCAGCAGTACCAGCAGCAGCAGCAGCAGCAGCAGCAGCAGCAGCAGCACCAACCATATCAGCAGCAGCAGCAGCAGTATCAGCAACAGCAGGGTGCAGCTTATATGGGTATGCAGCCCCAGCAGCAGCAACAGCTGCCACAGCAGCAACAGCAGCAGCAGCACCAGCACTACCAGCACCAACAGTACCAGCGCCAGCAGTACCAACAACCGCAGCAGCAGCAGCAGTATCAGCAGCAGCAGCTGCAGGCAATGCCAATGGGAGGGACAGCAGGACCAGCGGCAGCAGCAATGCTGCAGCCGCAGCAGGGGGGTTCCTCCCAGAATTACCCCATTGCCATGCAGGGAAACCCTGGATTTACCCCAGCACCACCCACTTCTACTGTCACCTCTCCTCCTCCTGCCCCTGGCAGTAGTATGGGTGCTGATACCATGGGACAAAACCCTGGAGGGATGGAGGGGCCAGGGCAAGGAGGTGCACTGGGGGAGATGCAGCAGAGTCAGGGGGGGCAGTATGGGCAGGGGCAGGTGCAAGGGGGCATGGCAGGAGAGGCGATTGGGGAGGGTGGGGTGGCTGGGTCAGGAACAAGCGAGCACATGCAAGGGGGGTATTAGGGCTGACTTGGGTGAGTCGAGTTGGGTCTGTTGTGCAGGGCTCGTGTTTGAGGTAGCAGGTTTGTGGCACGGTAATCAGAGACAGAGATGCGCAGATTTGTTGTGCATCTCTGGTGGATCAACATCTTGGGTGTCAGGCACAGTCAGCAGGCGCTGGCGATGGTGGGGGGGCGAAAGGGAGTGAATACTAACAGGTTTCAAAGCGATCTAATCTCGGGCGCACACGACTGAAAGAAAGAGCTATGCATGGCGCTTTGGTAGGTTCTTGTCTTGGCTAATGTTGTTGCATGCAGCAACCACTGCTCGTGTTTCTGCTGTGTGCTGTGCTGATTATTGGGAGATAAGTTGACCTGTTGAGTCTGTGTGCATTGCGTGCTATGCTGAATATGTTGAGAGGGCATTGGCCGGAACTCTTGTTTGTGCGCCACAGGTTTTCTTTTACGGTAAAACTAGCTTGTTTGCAATCCTAGCAGTAACAGAGTATACTTACGCACCCAGATCAGCGTATGCTTGGTTTAGCCGGTGCAGGCTTGTATCAGACGAGGCCTTGGGCTTACCAGGCTGGTTAGTTATACATTCGGGCTTTAGTTTCATAAAAATGTTGGATAAGATCAGATCAGACCACCAGTCTCATCATCTCATAAGGTACCCTCTTCTTAGGGCGTATTCCTACGGCCTCCTACCGTCATCGCCCGGATATAAGACATATATGTCTTATCTCATACACTAAAAAAAAGCTTGGGTTATCTTGTATTTGGGGAGGTTTTGGGTGTCTTATAAGTCTTATAAATGGAATTTTTTTTAACTACTTAGAAATGTTTTTACGCATCTTGAAAAGAGTTTCTCATTAAGAGTGTGGATGTTGCGAAGGTGCCACTTTGGCAACAATTGTTCGGGACGCCACGTCATCCCGAATAATTGCAGAGGCAAATTTGGTAGTACGTGAGTCAGCATGTGGCAGAATTCGCGTGTCGCAAGGGTAAAAATGTACGCGGTATTTCAATTCTCACTATAATACATTGCAGTTTCGATTATAAGACACATATGTCTTATCTCGTACACACAAATAGGTGTCGTATAAAAAGGCTAGCCTGTTTATAAGAGACATCCGTATAATAGACAACCCTTGTCTACTATTCGCCACTGTCTTATAACCGGGCGATGGCGGTATCAAGAAACCTCCTATCAAGATTGTACCTTTTGCCTGATAAAAGTACCGTAGCGAGAGATTTTGGGTTTAGGGAATTTTCCTGTGAGAGCTTGATAGGAGGTTTTCTTGATAGGAGGATATGAATACGCCCTTAGCTAAAAGGCTTCCAATCTAAGCTCTCATAGATCTGCTCTCCGCCAGGTCCAAAACTCAGTTTGTTGTTTTCTAGGCAGTTTTTGAACTAGAAATGCTTTAATGTATTAAGTGTCATTCGAATAGACATAAAGCGTATAACAAGTTTCACTCTAAACACTTGCAACCATTGATTTTAGGACGCGTCAACTCCCGCTGATTTTGGCGATCTCGTGCAATTTCGATCTTCCACCGCACTGAAAACATGTCTTTAGAGCTCAAAACAAACCAGAACGATTTCAAAGCCATACCAGTGGCCAAAGTGGCACCTTCGCAATTTGACCCTGCGCAGGATCGATCGTGCCAATTTGATGGGAGTTGACGCGTCCTTAGCCATACCAGACAGACCTTCAGCCACTAGTATCGAGAGAATAAGTGAGTTAAGAGGTGGGGCCTAGGCTTAGTAGCCTAGGCCCGAGCTTAGGTATCGAGCGGGTTTTCACCTAGGCAAGGTGTCGAGTGAGTTGAGAGGGGAAATTGGAGAATGAAGATGAAACAAGTACAAGTACCAACCCTAATTGGGTTGTACCTCCTATGGACTACCCCACTACAGCCTACATATATGCATCAGCTATATATAATCATCTGACACACCCCCATAGGCAAAGTGGGGGAGAGCAAGGGGTCACAAGACCAGTCAAGCAAAGCAAAGCAAAGCAAAGCAAGCTCAGGGTGGATCTCAAGGATACCACACAAATTCCGAGCACAAGGTCAAGGCCACAAGGCCAGTTCACATGCAGCATATATATATAACAGTGCTAAACAAGCAAGAGCAAGAGTATATATATGCAGCAGTACAAGCAAGGTCAAGAGGTAAGCAAGTGAGGCCCAGTGGGCACAAGGCCTAGCAGAGTGCAAAAGCGCTGATGGTCACGAGGCGGAAGTGCCTTGGTGAACACATCTGCAGTGTTGGCCTCAGTGGCCACGAAACGCAGGCGAAGCTGACCACGCTGCTGCAGCTCTCGAGCAAGGAAGTAGCGCAAAGCAATGTGCTTCGTCCTGTGCTCCAGTCTGTGCTCCTGACACAAGGCAATGGTTGCCTTGTTGTCGACGTACAGCACTGGAGGAGAACGAGGCCGCTCTCCAAGGTCAGTCAGCAGGTAGGTGAGCCAGCGAAGCTCCTGGGCAGCCATGGCCGTGGCGTAGATCTCAGCCTCACAACTGGAGCTGAGAACCGAAGAAGAGCGAGTAGAGCGCCAAGAGACAGAGCCACAGCCAAGACTGAAGGTGTAACCCTGAGACGACCTCTGAGTAGCCTGGTCGTCAGCCCAAGAAGCGTCTGAGTGCCCAGTGAGCACAGGCCGGTCACGCCCTCCAAGCACTAGCCCCATGCCCGACGTACTGCACAAGTAGCGCAACACCCTCTTAGCTGCATCCATGTGCTCCTTCCGGTGACGGCCGGGAGCGACATAGCGTGCTAAGATGCTGAGAGGGTATGCGAGGTCAGGTCGAGTGCAGGTCATCAGGTACATGAGGCAGCCCACAGTCTGGATACGGACCACTCGACTCTACGGACTCATCCGAAGGCAGAGCTGAGAGCGAGTGTCCCGTAGGCAGAGGAGTGGACTGAGGCGAGGAGTACGTGAAGCCAAAGCGCTGAAGGACCTGCTGCACCATGTGTGACTAAGTCAGGGTAATGGTGCGGCGTGCTCTGTCCCGGGTGATCCGCAAGCCAAGATAGCTTGTCAGTTCACCCAGGTCTGTGCACGTGTGTCTCTTCTGCAGCTCGGACTTCACGTGGGTGAGTGCGGTAGTGTCCGCAGTGGCAAAGACCAAGTCGTCGACGTACACGAGGATGTAGAACGGCGGCAACGAGGTGTCAGTGCGCAGAAACAGCGACGGGTCAGCAGTGGAAGGAGCAAACCCAAGAGCCGCAAGTGTAGTCCTCAGTGTGCCGTGCCACTCGCGCGGCGCCTGGCGGAGACCGTAGACTGGCCGCCGGAGGCTCCACTGGGTACCAGGAGGGAACGACCCAGTGAAACCAGGAGGGCGGCGCAGCCAGATCTCCTCGTGCAGGCGGCCCTGCAGGAAAGCAGTGCTGAAGTCAAGAGAGTGTAGCTCGTAGTCACGCTGAGCAGCGACGTGCAGCAGAACCCGAAGAGTGGTCATCTTCGGGGTCGGGGAGAAGGTCTGAAAGAAGTCAACTCCCTGTCGCTGACTGAAGCCACGAGCCACGTAGCGCGCCTTGAAGACAGGCGGAGAACCCGGCGGCCGCTTTACCCTCAAAATCCACATGCCACTGACAATGTTCGCCCCAGGAGGGGGAACAGCGTCAACGTAGGTGCCTGTGGACTTCCAGGAAGCCATCTCTGCGTCCATGGCTGACTGCCACTGAGAGGAGTAGGGACCGGCCATCGCCTCTGCGTAAGAGCGTGGGGTCGGGATGTCTAGAGCATCCGGGTCTCCCTCAGGGGCAACAAGCATGGACACGAGATGAGGCAAAGCGGCGGCAAAGCACTGGAACACCTCCTGCCTGTCCTCAAGGACGTCCGTGCCAAGAGCACAGTCACCCCCGACGGACGGAGGACAGGCAGACGCAGACGCAGCAGACGCAGACTCAGCAGTCTCAGCAGACTCAGCAACAAGACTGGCAGCGTAGTCTAGACGACACGTAGCAGCAAAGTCGACCAGCTCAGCAACTAGGGCAGACGCAGCAGCGGACTCAAAGGAAGGGTCAGTGACAAGAGAAGCAAGAAGACGCGTGACAGTGGGACTGGCAGCACGGCGAGAGTCCGACTCCGGGTCGGCAAGAGTAGGAAGAGAAGACTCAGGAGGAGAAGGCAAAGGGGCACGCAGAGGAGCAGTGGACGGACGCAGAGACATCATGTGTGTGCCAGGGACAGGAGGAGGACGCTGACGCGAACCGCGACCACTAGGGCGAGCAGCTCGGACTGGCGACACAGGGCGGGACGCAGGCTCACGACGCTCAGCAGGACCTCCAGTAGGACCAGTGTAGGGAGAAGGAGAAGGCAGGGGAGAGGCTGGCTGTAACTGTGACTGGGACTGAACAGGCTGTGGACACTCTACGGGAGGAGAAGGACCAGTGGAAGGCGGGAGACCAAGAACCTGCTGAAGGAGCGGAACGAAGTACGGCCGAGGCCGCGCAGCACCGCCAGAGACAGCAGGGACAGCACCAACACCTCCAGAGGCAGCACCAGTACCAGTAGCAGCTCCAACCCCAGTACCTCCAGCAGCGCCAGAAGTACCCTCAGCAGGACCAACAGTCGTAGTCTCAGCGCCAGCACCCGCAGCAGCTCCAGCTCCAGAGACACCCCCGGGCCCGGCAGCTCCAGTACTCTCAGTACGAGCACCTCCGGGACCCGTGGTACCAGCTCCCTCAGCAGCAACAAAACCTCCAGCACCCGCAGCACCCTCAGCTCCAGCAGCGCGCCTCCAGCGCCGGGCAAACCACTCACGCAGCTCCAGAGGAGAGAGCGGCTCGCGGCTCGAACCACCAGGAACAGAAGCAGCAGACGCAGCACTCCCAGACGCAGTACCCCTAGGCTCAGCACCCCCAGGCTCAGCACCCCCAGGCTCAGCACCCCCAGTCGCAGTACCCCTAGGCTCAGCACCCCCAGGCTCAGCACCCCCAGGCTCAGCACCCCCAGTCGCAGTACCCCCAGGCTCAGCACCCCCAGGCTCAGCAGCCCCAGGCTCA